AGCATTATGGTCATTAATGATCCCGTGTAATAACGTTAATTATTATTTTATATATGCAATAAAATTTTCAAATTATTTAGAATAATCTATTCATGTCTTTTTTTGGTACATTAGTATATTAATTCATAAGTTATATAACATATTACAATATTTTTTGATAATAATGAGTTCAACCTATCAAATTAAGAAAATATCAATAATAATATAAATATTTTATGATATTATCTATCTTTAGAAATAGAAAATATCACTTTTTTATATAAAAAATTGATTTATTGAGTATACATTTAACACATTTATTACAGTAACCGACCCAATAATGAGGTTAACTCAAAACCTAAGAGATTATTTTATTGGATTTACTTTATACCATAGAGTAATAATGCTTTATACTGCTATTGTACACACATGACTTATTAAAAGTAAATTTTAATATAATTATTCATATCTTATACATATAATCTTATAAAATTATAATCATTTATTGGTGATAATTTTTCAAGCCATAAGAGCCTCCAAATTTTTTTGATTCAAGGGCCACATAAAATATTAAAAGCCCTTAGCGGTCTATAAGCACAAAACACATTACATTTTTAATTTTATATATACTTATAAATATTTCATAAAATAATTCTTATAATAAATTTAAATACACGTACTTAAAATTAACTTTAATAATACTTTGTAAATTGTAAATTGATGACAAGTAGGATATCGTTGTTTTTCTACTAATATTTTATCGAATTAAGGTTGGATGTTATTTGATTGTTTTCCATCCTTGGGGACTGATAAACTTGTTCGTGGACCATATTCAGTTTCAAAAATCATAGTTTGGAGACCCTTAATGAGCTTATAATATTGATTCGTTCATATATTTATTTTTATAATTAAATGTTTATAATTTTTTGTTGCATGTACTAGATAGTATAATAATTTTGCAATTAAATATTCTAATTTTAATTATACGTTAATAAAAAAAAAAAATTCAAATATTTTCACGATATATACTTTAAATCATTTACAAGTAATTAATTCACAATGATTTAACCTTTATCCAAAATTAATTGTTTTAAAATTATGCATTTTTCTATAAAAATATCTAAAAACATATTTATTTGGGTAACAGAAATAGTTTTTCCAAATTTTTAGATTTTAATTTCTTAGAAAAACCTCTTTTGCATTATAGACAAATATGTTAAATATATTATACCATATTAATTTATAATTATTAACTAATATAATTGGATACACTTTATTATTTGTTTGTAGTTTAAAATATTGTAATGTTTATACAATTGTTAAAATTTTATAGTTTAAACTTTAAATAAAAAATAATTTCGAAAAATTGGTTAGTATTTTTATAACACTGAGTTGTATATTAAAACTTAACATGATATAAGTTTTTTCGTAATATAATATTTTCAGTTTATAATTAATTTATGACATACCTACACAATAAAATTTATAATCCTACAGAATATAACTTATACAAAATTAATTTTTATCCTTTAAATGTTTATTTAATTCAAAGTATTTAAAACTATATAAATTATACTTTATCATTAAGCATTATATTATATATTTATTTTATAATAATATTGAAGATGTGATAAATCTATACAAAAATGTTAATAATTTATGTGTATTTTTTAAAAGGATTTCAAGACTAACTGTGAGGTGGATGAATTGGTAATAACGTCAAATTTAAGAATTGGTATCATAACCTTGTCACAAGAAGACCAAATTCCTAGCACCAAGTCTTATTCATCCTATCATAATTATTGAAAATATGTTTTTATATTATACTTATTTATTTTAATTTTTAAGTACAGAACTGTCAATTTTTTAATTTATATCAATTTTAATTAAGTTAAATGTAGTTTAATCTATGTTAGTGAATATTTTAAAAATTTTTTTTACATAATTCAATTATTGTAAGAAATGCAGGATTTAAGTCTTAGGAGGCTAAGGTGCAATTATTAATATCAGAGACCTCTTTTAAATTTGCTTTTTATAATTATTCATATCATATATTAATAATACTTTTTTTTTTCGATGTTTGGTAATATTAAATATAGATTTGAAAAAACAAAACGTTTTAAGGTACCTCATGACTCATGTGTACCTTTAAATTGAACCACAAGTAAGAATAAAACGAAATTTATAACAGTCTAGAATAAATGGGTGTGGATAATTTCTTAAACTACTCGTTCTTATTTTTCTGACCATTATTTAATATTTTTAATAATTAATTACTTTAATTTACATAGTTAAAAAATCTAGAATAATAAATTAAGGTCCCTTAAATAATCTCAGCATCGAATGTCTATTATATTGCACCTTCTCAATAAGCTAAATCCAGCATTGATTGTAAGTACATTAAAACAGTATAATACTAAAAGTAATTGTTAAAATTTATCGATTCGTCACAATTAATGTTCTATTAATATATATGTTACGGTCAAAGTAGACTATCAGGCAATGTTAACATTACTTGAGCATTATGGTACTGCCCAATTATGATCAACAATGTAGGAAAAATCATACTTTGCCCGGGCTGTATAGGATTGTCCAGTCTATGTTGGGCAATATAAATTAATTCTCTTGAACATTAAATTTACAATTGACTCTGTTCTTACAACAGTTATTTTATTTATTCTATTATCTATTTCTTCTTCAATCAATGTTTTATCTACTTCACAATGAGTTCCAGTATTCATAGATGTTATTACAGCTTCTAAATCTTCTTCAGCTTTTAATCTACTAATTATTGATATTGGATGTACAATCATAATGTAAAATCATCGTTTAATCCAATTTTTGCACAACATCCAAACATTACTTCTACACTCGCATACCAATTACTTTATAAAATATAAATATAAAAGTGCGTTTATAACTCCAAAAATATAATAGATACTAAATTGACTGTAACATAGTACTTATATTCTTCTCACTATATATCTATACTCTTTTTTTTTAACTGTTTAACACATTTAAAAAAAAATTGTATTCAAATGGAAAGTTTTGTTTATAGCTTAAGTTACAATGCCCAACTAAGTACCTACAGGAAAAGTAACTTGAACCGGTCAAAATATAACCCTGCATGGCAAAAATAGTATTTTTAATATATTGCCCAAAAAACACTGGACAAAGTATACATTGACTGGGTAATGTAAAACTCGATAGTCTTCTGTTCCCGTAACATGTATTTCAAACATTTACCATGTTCTAATAATAAAAATATTTATACGCATTTAGTTTTAGTATCTGTGAAGACATAATGAACTAATAAATAGTATATACCAATAATTATTGTTAATTTAAAATTTGTAAGTCTTGTATTATGATGATGATAATCGTTTATAATAAATAATAATTCCTTATTCATCATTATTAGTTTTGTTATTTATTTTGTGTTGTTCTAATGACATAATAGTCGTAGTATGGAAATTAACAGAGATTAGGTATAAGTGGTATTGCGATAAGATAAAGATTATATTTAATATTACAAAAGTTGTAGTAGATACAATATATTACAATTATATTAATTTCAGTTGGTACGAAAAAAAATAGCTTATAATATTAAAAATTCTGAAATAATACTTGTAAAATATTAACATTGTACACTTAACTTAAAAATTAATTAAAATCTCCGTTAATCGGTTCAGAATTAGTTTTCTGTTCTTACAATTAAAATTCAAACATTTTAAATGAATAATTATTTCAAAATTGTGCTTAATAACAACTCTTAACAATACATTTTAGACACATAACAATTAAAATCAAACCAACCGGAAATCCAATCAATGGATCTGTAGTAAATATGTTTAATAAACTGCGTATATATTATTTATTAAACAATAAAATATGATAAAAACAATTTATTTTGCAGCATATATCTGTTATCTATTGAACTTTCAATTAAGGATATATTTTGTAAATATATTCATATAAATTCTTCTTAGTAAAAATTACAATTATTACAAATCAAAACAGTTGTGTTATTACATTCATATAGTGATAATATAACACTTAATAGCTATAACCATTGAATTAAATTCTAATTGTAATCCCCGAAATTAACAACGGTGTATTTAGTTTGGTATAAGAACCACGATTTAATAAACAAACTTGATAACATATATTACGAGTAATATATTAAAGCGAGTACACATTATTATTTATTATCATATATTACCTTATGTAAACTATAATATCGTATATGTAAACAAATAGAATGGTGTTGATTATTAATTTCTATTTGCAAATACTGTTCTTGTACACTACATCAAGGGAAATATAAGATTGGTACTGGTCCAATACATGCTAAGTTTAATACATTCTGTTTACTGTAAAATTATTTGATCACTGCGATGTATAGAAATCATATAGGAATATATAATGCGTTTTCATTCGATAACCAAGAATAATTGACTCTCAATTATAATTTTTTTTTTTTTCTATCAAATAAGAAAATATTATAATAACGTTTTGAATTATAAATTAAAATCGATAAGAATTTTGCTTAAAAAAAATATTTATTAAAATTAAAAATTTAAATATTTTAATGCAGACTATCATTAACCAGTTATTGCGATTGGTGAAATCAGAGTCAAAATATAAAATTTAAAAACGTTTTTTTTTTTTTTTTGTTATTATTATTATTTATTATAAAAAAAAAATCTCAAAAAGAGTTAACATCAATGTATTGTTATTCATTGAAAAACATTTTTTTTCGACATTGATAATGAACAAAAGATAATAATTGTATAGCATAGGTGGTATACGCTGCATATTATTAAATATATACTATATTCTTTAATGAAACATTTATAATTATTATGACGCATTACTCTTTAATTTTACTTTAACATTATTCTAAACGTTTAATGTAAGTGTTAAGATATTATAGTTTGAAAGCAAATGAACGTCAGATGATAAGAGGCGTATAGGACCAGTATCGAAAATCTATTATGTGAAAAACATTTGATAAGTACCTGTAATGCGACGTAATCTCCGAAACCAATGGTGGTGAGCGTAACGAAACAATAATAAAAACTATCAAAATAGCTCCATCCTTCGTATTTTGAGAACACGGCCGCGCCAGTGGTAATGATGACCGATGACAGCAGTCCAGTAGCAAACATTAGATTCATTTCCGTGGCTTCTTCCTTTTTACATTTTAAGTACTGTTTAGCCCTACAAATGAATAATTAAAACGTTTCATATATTCAAAAAATGTTGTTGGGTATTGAAATATTGATGTGAAAACATGATAAAAAATTCTTGTTGTTTCTTTACTAAAGCTATCAATTTTAAATCACCAAAATTTCTAAAGCAAGAAAATTAAAGGTTTTTAATCACTTGCAATATCATTCTCAAACATTAAAAATCTTATGCAAATTGTTAATTTCCTTAAAACTCTAACGATTATAAATATAGTTTTGTAAAGCGTACTAATGTAATTATTTTAATACAACTTTTGTATTTAAATACGTAATATCTATACGTTTTTAATATTTATACTCAATTATTTTTTTCTATTTCATATTTATGCTAAGAAAAAAAAATATAATCCAGATACTTATGTTTGATCTATTTTGAATTTTTTCAAATAAAAAATATTAAAACCAAACCCTTTCAATCTGAAATAACTCTATGATATTTTAATCAAATTATTTATACGAATAATTTTGGAAATTGTCAAATCTGATATTTGGTTCAACAAAACAAGTTTAAAAATATTGTGAGTAGGTATGAGTATACTTCGGTGATCAATGTAATTCATTTGTAGGATCAATTAAAATTTTTTGAACACACGAATAATAAAAAACAATTTTATGGACCAATCGTGTTTCAAAAGTCAAATAAATAATAGTATGTTTTCATTAAAAATAAATAGAATTTACTTATATTTATAAAATACTTTTAGCAAGAATGTGACAATATATGTAGAGACTTCGTGTCGTTTAAATTAGGCAGAACAATTTATCTTAAGTACATATTTATAGTTGATTATCAAAAAAAATGAAATGTTATTGAAGTAATAAAATATATGTTAAAGTATTCAAATTAAATATGATGTTTTCTTTTTAAATAATATATATTTTTATTAATTGATTTTAATACGGAATTTAAGTATTCTTTACAAGCCTGTGACTAATATCTATACTTTGAGTTTCTGATTATCGTTACTTATGGTGTAACTAAGAAGTTATGAGACATTTTGTTAAGGATAATGTATTAAATATGTATTAAATTATTAAATTTTACTTAATATAAATGAAAATACAATTTAGATGGTATTTAATAAAACTATGTATAGGTACAAGGTTAATGTAATTTTATAAATATTGTAGTAAACTATAAAATACAGTGGTATAGTGAATGACTTTTGCTTAATTTAATTGCTTAGCTCTATATACATTTATATTGAAATTAAAAATTAAAAATTTGTGTGGATGGATGTATTATTATTAATTAATTATCATAGTTAATCATATTATCATAGTTTATAATATTAAATTATTAATGAGTAACGACTATGTCTTATAATAAAAATTTTAAATTAGCAATAAGTTTAAAATTATATATTATGTTGTAAGGAGTTAATGGGTAGGTCATTGTTTAAATACTTTGCTTAGGGTTTAAAATAGGTTTGCCATATTACTGATGATATACCTAATATACTATTATGTACATTGTACACTGTATAAAATATATATTGATTTTTCAAAAACCATAATCAATAAATTGTTCTGCCAATAATTAAAATAAAGATAACATATGCCTAAGCATATTTTTAATATTAAGTTGATAACAACAAATCAACGAAACTGTCTATCATTCGAAATTTTTTTATTGATCTAAAAACAGGAAATCACACAAAAATTGTTAAATTTAAAAATTACATTAATATTGTATTTGCAAAACAAAATAGAATTGCTTACTGTTAACTAGATCAAAATTGAAAGAAAAACGGTGAAATCCTAGTTTATTGAAACGTAACTGTTTTAATGACTTCCTTGAAATTTAAAAGACACTTAAGACTTAATTTTTACTAAAAAATTGATATGTTTTTATAATTTTAATTTTAAATTATGTTGTTTTATTCTTAGAAAAAATTCATCAAAATCACAAAAATTTTAAATTATTTTTTAATTAATATTTAATTTAATTTTTAATTTTTAAATCAAGGCTTGAAATTTGGATACCTGGTTTTTTATAAGTTCAATTTAATGAAGACATATTCATTGTATAACATTACGATTATAGGTGTAATTTTTAAGTTTAATTTATAGTTTAATTTTTTACTAAAATATTTTGTTTTTTACACTTCTGAGCTCTTTAATTTTTATTATAAAAATTATAACTTTAGTGTACTAAAATTTTCAAGTTAAAAAAGATTAAAACGATTTTTCACCTTCTAATAACTACGGACGCAAATTTATTTAAACGTTCACCAATACTCTGGAACATAATAAGTCCTAATGGTATGCCCACCATAGCGTATGCCATACAAAATGCTTTTCCACCTATTGTCACTGGTGTTGAATGTCCATAACCTGCGAAAAATATACCACTTTTAGGATCCATATATTAAACATGATATTATATCATTCTATATTTTATTAAATCATTTTTATAACAATTTTTTTATTTTATTAAGTAATGAGTCACAACTTGTATAATAAGAAAACATCACTATTATCTATTTTTATAACATATTAATCGTAAAGCTGTGTACCGATCATAGCCAAAACGACTGTGGAGAAATAAAATGCGCCCGCAAATTTCCATTGTGGTCCAGCTTTGTGAGGCTTATTTTCAATGATGGCAACCTCCATCATCCTGTAATCATCTTCACTTATGCTGTATTTTTGCACCAAAGCTGCCTTTAGTTCTACAACCATCATTATAAATATATAGTACACATAATATATAATATGTTTATTAATTAAAATTATTAACGAACATAGATTTAAAGGATATTACAAATTTATGTTACGAGTACCATCATAATTATATACTTTGAAGATTGACTTTGAATTAATCTCTGTTTGATTATAATTCAAAAATACAAATTCTAACCAATTAAATGGTTAAAACATAAATATTAATAAGCAGTTCACAAGTAAATAAATAATTTAACATTAATTTATAACAATAAGTAACATTCCTAACTATTAGTATTTGAATTTAGTAAAGGAAGTGAACCTAGCTATAATAAATAATAATATTATTCAAATATATTCGAATTATGATTAAGATTACTGAACACACGTATGGTATACCTACATTCATTTAGAACCGATTATTAAACCAACACGTGTATTTACAAACTTTAACAGGTCTATTATTTTATCATATTTTAAACTTAGTTAACAGATATAGTTAAATTCTTAAAAAAAGTTATTACGTACATATTAAATATTTAATAAAAAAATAAATGCCCAAAATTTAATTTAAAATTTAGGAAAAGTTAGTTATAATATAATCATATTGTTTATTTTTATTATTATTATTATTATTACTATTATTAGTATTAGAGTGGATACATTAAGTTTTTCATATTTATTTGAATACTCTTTATAATATTCACAGAATTACAGAGTGCTTACTCAATGTTCTATATCTTCTTGCCTGTATTCAAAAGTTGAAGAAATATTAAACTACAGGAGTAATTATTATACAAAGTAAATACCTAATAAATAATAATAGACAAGGACGTAGTGGTGAGAAGTTTCAAGTTCCTGTGATTAATAAGTTTTAAATTGCAACAAAATAACTTAAGTCATTATTTTGATCTATTCATGTACTCTTTATTAAATTTGTATTTAGTTCAGTTAATCTCTTTCATCACCTTTTGGAGTAGTAAAAGTACTGTGATCATTAGCTATGAGAGTAGTTGGTATTTTGGAGGATCAAAAGTATACTTATCAATATCAAAATAATCACAAAAACAAAAAAAAAAAAATCTAGGAACATGATTTAATATTCTGCTAAATGCCTATATGGCTATATAATAAGTATCTTATGAAACAGTTATAGAATAAATGATTGTAATTGATATTACTTATATTAATATAGGTACAATTGTATAATATTTTAAAAATAATTCTGTGTGGAAGTGGTCTATATTTTTAATTTATTTATATTACAATAAGTAATTTATATTTATATTATTATTTTCACAAATAATTTGTTTTTTTGTAATTATTACTATAGATGTTAATAGTAATTTATTATCATTAAACAGATTGAATATTTTCTTGGTATAATAAACTTAAAATGAATCAAAATAAATTTAAATTTATAAAACTCCTTGTTTATAGTAAATAATAATTCGTATAAAAAGTAGTATAAAGTTTCAAGTTCCTGCAAATAATATTTTTTTAAATTACAACAAAGTTATTAAAATCATATTTTATTTTTTTTAAATAATATTTGATTTTTAAAAAATTCTATAAAAAATTCTATATACCTATTACATATTTTTGATTTTTTGTGTCATAAGAACAATTTATGAAAAATCATGATGAATTTTTATTTATCTCAATTATTGAAAAAAAAACTAACCACTAGGATTTTTTTTATTTTTAATCATCAAATATTCACATTTCTACCATAAAAAATACTAAAGTTTAAAATCAAAGCATTTTTATGAGACCAAAAGTTGATAACAGAAAAAACATTATGCGATGTTATTGGCAAAATTTAGATCTAAGTATCATACTCCATACTATAGTATACTACGTATAGAAAAATAAATTATTGAATATTAATAATTCATAAATTATTTATAAAATATTGTTATTAATAGAGGCTGACATACTGTCTAAACTTAGAACGATTTTTATATGCAAATATGTATCATTGAATTCAAATTCAACACTTCCATTCTGTAAATCAATAATGAAATATTTGAAACTCTTACTATCCATATATACTGAGTGTATACAGCCTATGAAGCAGTGCGAATTTTCAGGTTTTTATTTTTTTTATGTTCGTCTTTTTTATATAATTTAATATTAAACTCTAGTATGTTTCAAACAACTTCATAAAATCAGATGAAAAAATCTGTTCAATCGACGAGATCGCTTTTTTTTTAACACAGACGCTTAAACTTAAACTAAATGTCAATCAGTTTATTAAAGGCCTAGGCTAAAAAAATACTACTAGGAAATTCAATCAAATGACACCAACAAAAATAGTGCTATGATATGTTAATTAACTCAAGTCTCTAGGTTTTTTTAACGTGAGATTTTCTTTCATCTTATTATCTTCATTATCACTTGCTATTTTAATTACTTATTGTACAAGAATTTAATTGATTGTAATTTTTCATAATAAAGATTTATTAAAAGAAGAAACTTAATATTATGTTTTAGCGTTCAATAAATTTGTAAATTTATGCTCGTACATAAATAATTGATTTTTACCTAAAAGGTGATTCCATCTTTTTCTCTCAGTTTCTGATTCCAATGCATCAAACACAGCAGCTCCTACTAACAAATATGTAAACGTGCAAACTACTAGAGATAGTGTGCGCACATTCTGCCGCTTCATGTTTCTTGTTTATTCGATACGTGTTACTGAAACAAACAAAATCTAATTAAGCTGCGATATATTATGTACTATTACAGTATGTTTTATAATATGACATACATCCACACACATTTACATTTTAATTTAATAAAATATACTGAAGTCAAATATTCGTGTTTGCAATAAAAAATACCTTTTTTTAAATTTTAATCAAACATTTAATTTAAAAACGTTAATTATAATAATTAAAAAAATTATGCATGTAAATGAAACAAAATATAGCAAACACGCCATGTTCTATATTGTGGAAATTATTCTTGATATGAATTCTGTCAAGCTATTTGCTGGGTGTTTGTTTTACTAAATTTCAATACATCGTTCACTAATTATGTGCGTAGTTACTATAATAATGGCATACGTATATTATAATTTATATTATATTGGAGTTTGTATACGATGAATTCTTCATGTTATGTTATCGTAGTTATAATTTTTATTTATAAAAATATTTTAATGTGTTGTACAATAATAATATAATATAAAAGAAAACGTTTGTCCAAGGAATAATCGCTCTGTGTTGTAAATTGTAAATTGTATTGCATATTATATTGCTTTTTACTGTTAAACGTAATAACGATTTCTTTACATAAACGGTCCACATTACCATGTGTATTAGAATAATTTGTTATCTGAAGTGAGTTAATGTTATAGACGATTACGGCTACAACGATAGCAATATTTAAAACAAAAATGATTATTTTACGATTAGGCATGCAGTTTATGTACGCGTCCGAATATGTCTCTACATATTATTATTATTATTATCATAATATAATCCATTATCGCGACTACTGTATACATATAAAGACAATAAATGATGTGATTGGCCGTAACTTAGCGTAAGATATAATGAAATCGCGATATTCCGAATATTTCACAATATATAATACCGATAGATTTCACAACGCATGGTATTATATTTACATATTATAATACAGATTATTGTTTTAGAACTAGAATGAATACATATTATAAGCTGATCATCATTATTTGGACCATTCGTACCGTATCACCATGCATATTTACTACGTACTCGTATTTGTTTAACATCATCCATTTTAAATAACCCCAATATTGCGTTACCTACGAGAAGTCTAATGTTTGACTTATTTATCTGGATGGCGCTGTATGAAATTATTTATTATCGAAACACATATATGACAGTTCCGATAGTAATCAATCAAACGTGAAACAGAAAGAAAGAAAGTACAAAAACAATCTACATCTATATATTGTGTGTAATAAGTTATTACTAATAACCATAGGCATAGTTAGAGGTAGCTTTGGGGGGCTTAGCCCCCTCCCTTCAATGTAGACAAAGTTCTCCACCAGTACATGTTTTCCTCTAGGAGGGCTACAGCCTTCCAAAAAATTTGACTTCCCTACGCCTATGCTAATAACACAAACACAGACACATACACACACACACACATATTTGTCATAGACACCAAAATATTTAGTTCTTCTGCAACCAAATAGAGATATGGATTGATAGAGAGGAAGTGAGAGCTTATTTCTGAAGAACCACTAGTTTAATATTTTTTTTTTTTTTAGATTCAGTTATCTGTAATGTAACAGTGAAATAAAATGGTATACTTATATATTATGACCTACCAATACCGATTTTTAGTACTAACTCAGTCTTAATACTGTTTATATTGGTTGAAATTATTATTTATTGTGCACGTTTTTTCAAAAAAAGTAATACTGCTCCAAAACATCTCTTTGACGTTTCTTACGTGGAAATTTTGAAGAAGAGGTGCTGTTTACGTAAAAGAAAAATAGGTCAAGGCTCAAACTATAAATTTAAATTCAACACCACTTTGTTTGGATATGTGGCATTCTTCATCGACGATCAATTTATACTACAAAAACTTATAATTAATACTAAACTTATCTTTCAAAAATAGCGATTTTGATAATTAATTATCTAAAAATAAAATATACGTATAACTTTATTGACAATAAATAAAAAACCAATTATTGAAGTGCAAGAAAATATTTGACAACCGTATAAAAAACAGTCGCTTATAGAAATTAATTGGACAAAATAAAAAGTTTGGCTTATAAAATAAATGTGTTTACATGACAGAAATAAAAGCCATACATACCGTTCTTCACAAAGTAGAGGTGCTCTCGTTAAGTTCAAAATGCGGATGAGCTCCCACCCACCTCAGCCCTTCACAAAAAAAATAATAATAATAATAATTGAAAACAATATGGTGTTTTACTTTCAATGTGAGATCAATCTATGTCAGATATAATATATTGAACCAATAAATTATATATGTAAAATAGATAGGTACAGGTGTGTTTTGAATCTTTTAAACTCTAATATAAGTAATAACTATTCAAAAATTAATACTTTTTAAAAGCTTTTATATAAATTGGCAATCTCAGATTCTTTTAAAACATAGAAACGATAACTTTAATATTGCATTTTTATTTCAAGTGATATCGTATAACAATATATATTATATAGTAGTATACTAGTATCTAAAGTAAAAAAAAATAATCATAACACATAGGTAGTGTATTTTTAATGAAAACACTAGCGAGTATAAGTACTGTTTTTGATTTTTGTCTGTGGTTACTAAATCAGACATTAAAAATAATTTACCGTTTGTTAAATCAATCCAACGGTCCGAAGAATTAAAAACGGGAACTTTCGTTACGCCTCTTATAATTATACAGTGAGATCAACAATTTTCGGTGAAATTGTGAAAAAGAATATTATTTGATTGGACGTGTATGCCTGTAATAATATATTATATAAATAATTATATTATTAATTTTGTTCATTCGACCAACGTCATATTATCATATTGCAGTGTTGATTATACCATTCGAGAGCCGTCTTACGTCTCTGATGGATTTACGGAACTCGAACGATCCACAGCCGTTTGGCGTCACGTCACAATATATTATGTACGAGTAGATATTATTATTATCCAAGCGCGTTTTTGGAAACAGTTTCCGCGGACGACAAACTCGCGATCGATTTTCGTCCCATCCTGTTACATACCCATAATAGCTGTGCACGTCGTTTTAAAATACGCTATTATGGTATACGTATTATTAAAAGCCCTATACTTTATAGATAACATTAAAATATTTTACGTACCATACGCATGTATATTCACATCCAGCGCTATCTCAAAGCCGACGTCCGTGTATCGTTTTTCTCGTTTTCTTCGGCGGCCTAACGCTTTTCCGCATAATATTGTTACGACGATATTATCATCATCATAATATTCGCCGTGTGTCCGTCGGTCGTGGTTTGCCGGTCACCGCCACCATCGACGTCGCCGCCGCCGTGCGAGAGCGCCGCCGCCGGACCGTTTATCGCGCCCACCCCGGGTAGGACGGAGAAAATAATCGATTTTCCCGCGCGAAGCTGCGACGCGCAGTGTCGCCGGCCCTGCGGCGCGAGATATATACCGCGAACGTCCCGTCATTGGGTTGCAGTAATAAAAATAATCGTACGTTATTATCGTGCATTGTTCTCGTACGCGATGCAGCTGCTATCGTCATCGTGACGTCATATAATATTAAAAATATCGTTACACAATAATGCAATAACTGTAATGAATTATTATCAGTCGTGCACGATTCCGCGCGGATTCGATCAGAACAATTCGAATATTGTGTACATCCTTCCGATTTAAATATCATACTATGATGATGTGACGAGATTAACTCGTGGATTCCAAATGGTAAAAACCACCAACCGACATGAAGCTATGTTTTATAGGCACCTACTTGTTGAACGACACTCGTAGTCAAGTCGTATCTATAATATACTAACGTGACCATAATTTTATTTTGCTCAAAGCGGGACACCTGTAAATTTTACTAGGAAAACTATAATAATTGTCGACTTCCATTAAGTACTTATTTTTGTATAATTTCTATCTGTTCAGACTATGATGAGTGTTTACCGTCAACAGTATAAAATGTATATTAGGTATGTACGTATATATTAGTGAACAATATACGATACCGTATAGGTACCTACCAACATACTTTTGATTGTGATGAATAAATATTACGTGCTGTTTATCGTAGCGGAATAAAATGCCACAGATCGTCTTTTTTCAAAACAAGATATTTTTGGGTTCTTTGGAAACAACGGGACACAAAGCTCGAAAGCGGAAAGTATGGTTACGTAAGTTTTTACACATTTAATTATGATCAACTAAAAAAAAAAAAAATTTATACTCAGGGATGTACATTTATTTAATGTACGTTAAACAAAAATCTACTGTCGAAGTAGAATTATCTAGATAAAATATGTTTCAAAAAATATAGATTTAAAATCCTACAACTTTAAAAATACATATTTTATAAGGATTTAAGATATAACACTTATAAGAAGACGTTGTATCCACAAAATTTGTACCTATTTACTATAACGCAATTACATAGCAATAATTAGAAGAATCAATTTTATTCTATTGTTATTTAAATAGGTATTTGACTAAATTGACCAATGATTAAATTTAAAGATAAAAATATTACCTTATATACTATGTTTCTTATGATATTTTAATTTTGAAGCAAGTTATGAACATTTTAAAATAATTTATTATTTAAGTATTATGATATTGACCAAAATAAGATCTTAAATAATATCTTATTTCATAAATTTGGTGATAGGTCAATCAATTGTATTATAATATTAAAAATTATAGAGTAATTATAGGTATTCTCAAAGTACAATATTCAATATTTTGAGTCGATACATTCAACGTTCTATATTAACGTCATTGTGTCCATTGTTATTTTTTTTTTAGTTGTATTATTACAAGTATATTGTATAATCAAATATCTGTGCTTGATATTTTTATTGGAAAATTTATTCATCGGCAAGCATTGTTATTTACAAAAACAATCTAAAAATGAATTGTTTTCTATAAATTTATAAATTATTCATTTATTATACATTTTATTTTTTATACGATTAAACGATCAAATGATAGTCAAAAATGTTTGAACCATGTATCGAACGACTTATGTATAACTACATATCAAAAGAATAAATCGTATGCATGACTTTTTATGATTCGAAAATATTTTTAAGAGATCTGTTTCAAAACAATGTATAATGAATGCTTACCTATATAGCTATGATTCATTGAGTTTCGTTTGAAATTGAACAATAGGGGCTATCCACAATGTTATTATTGAGTACTCATCTATTTTTTTTTATTTTAAAAGATTCCATTATTATTACTATGATGTGTATCAGTATCTTTCTTCATGGCCGCTTTAGTGTATAATATGTATTAGTATAGTGTATAAATGTACTGGATTTTATTTAACCACGAAAACCAAAAAATTCCTATTCAGTTTCGATAATGTTATCGTAAAGTTTTCATTGTTGTACACAAACAACTCATAATTAATAAATTATAATAAATTATAATATGCTGAAAAACTTATAATGAATACCTACTACTTTGAAATAAACTTAAATATTTAATTACCGTATTTAACACATATTATATATTACACAATATATAGTTATAAATTGAATTAGATTAAAATGTTTTCACATGCACGCACGAGGTATGAATTAACACGCCATGCAATTATCTTCAAGTCCGACTTATTTATTTATACATATAGGTAGTAAAAATATTATATATTGTAATACTCCGTACTCGTTTATATTAATTTTATTAAGTAATATTGTTACTAGAAATTAAAATCAAATTTTCTTACCATTGAATGTATATTCAATATATTTAATATTTATACAACGACTATATTGTTATAGATACTGGAAAGAATTACACATTTTACATAATCATACCTCACTCGCTTGGTAGTTAGTACATATGAACATTTTCATTAAATGTATACATTATTGTAATTTTTTTGAGATATTTGAGTGTAAAACAATAAATAATCATACAATGAAATATTTATTGTATGTTATTAGTAATTTTAATGTAACAAGTATTTTATATGACTGGAGGTCAAAATAATATTCTTTTGTATATTTTTTTTCGAGTCTATTCAATCAAGTTTCGGTTTGAAATTTTTAAATATTATGATTCATATAATTCAATGGCAAAAGTTTTTTTTTTTTTGCATATTTGAGAATATTTTTAGATAAGAGAATATTTCGTATAAAAAAAGGATATTAGAGAATACATCGATTAATTTTATAGAATTTGGATAATTTGTGTTGTAGAGACGAAAATTATTAACAATATTAAATAAGTTTTTAGTCCGTTATTATTGAAATAACTATAAATGGAATAGCAATATGGAATGAGTAAATAAAATGTTGAGTTAACATTTTTTTAAAGCTAAATTGTATGGTACCAATCTATAATTGTTTATTTAAGTAAATTTAAAAAAATATATATTTCAGTAAACATATAGAATTGTATCATAATTAATAACCTTTATTATATAGTTTTTGCATATTTAATTACAGTTTTTAAAGAATATTAGAAGAATATTATCAATTTTTTAGGGGAATATTAGCATCTTATTTTGGCTATATTAAGAGAATATTATTCCGACTTTTATAAATGACTAATTAAAAAGAAATATTTTATTTTAATTAATGTTAAAAACATTTAGATACATCAGTTTTAAGTAGATAATTCGAATACAATACCGAGAGAAATATTATTTTTAAATACACCTTATTATAATACTTATGTATAATTAATATGAAGTTTACAATTTAAAAGGTTTTCCAATCATTTACAGAATAATAGTGTTATACTTAACACACATACACACACACACACACACATATATATATATATATATTATATAACCTATATGTTTAGATAATTAAATTAGAAAAATATATTAATATTAAAACAAACCTATACCATTAAGTATAATATATAATACATATATATATACTCAATGCCTATGCCTATAATATATGATGATGTAGGTCATTAATTATAATTACAAATACAAAAAGATTAATTAATAAAAATATTATTATTAATAACATTATATAAACCAACCTACTTATTATTGTTATCATATTATATTCGTTTAACACAGTGAATACAATTGTGAAACAAAAATGAGTTATTAATATTTTCTTTATTTTTATTATTATTATTATTATTATTATTTTAAACAAATTGAAAACAAAATTAAATTATTTAATGAAAAAAAAAACAAATTAAGCTAGCTGTATCAATTATTAATAAAAATATTAATAATCAGGACATTAATTTATGTTAGATAACATGTCGTTGAAGATAAATAAACGGCATTATTTTCTGGCGAATATTAACATTAACATTAATACTACGCATTCGTATATTTAATATATTTATATTAATTTTTGGACTATATCATATAATATAATATCACTATAACCTTTCTTAGTAACCTATAAAATAATATTATAAAAAAAACTTGTGAAATAAATAAAAAATATAATAGTTATTCATTATTCAAAAATTATGAATAACTAAGAACTATACCTCAGCTATACATAAGCTTCGAGATAATTTAGATAACGTATACTGTGTAAGTATAATTAGTACTTTTTTTTAATTCTGAAGATTAAACTAATTTTTATCAATATAATAATGGAAACTAATGAATTAATTCTATCATAACGATATACTGTAGAATGATGTGGATTTATAAGTTCGTGATATACCTTACTGTAAGTAGCTTAAAGTTAATTTTAAATATTTGAAAATGTCTTTAATAATATACTCATTTATATATTTTAAGCAACTTTACTCTGAAAAAAAAAATTAAGCGGATTACTTCCTTCGTGAGTCGCCTTATTTTAATATGCCAACAATAATATGCTTAATGAAAAGTCACAATTCTCTAGAATTAATATTTTTAAATTACTAAAATCAATTTAAGAAAGCTTATTATTTTTTATTTGTCTAAAAATCAAATTATGAGTATATCAAAATTTAAACTTCAAAGTTCAAACGCTTTTAAAAAGTCTGAGAATATCGATTTTTAATATTTTTTAATTACTATGAGAAATACTTTTGAAGAACCTTTATTATATTTTAATGATTTTGAATTTTGACCAACAAACAAAAATCTCATCAATATAATTTATTTTTTATTTATTTTTCTTATTTTTATTTATACACTACTAAAATATTATATATCTATGAGGCACAATAAATATACTTGATTGAGAGAATACTTACTTATTTATAAAACATGTTACCGAATTAATACTAAACACATCAGATTTACGTAGAAACTTCTATGTGAGAAGTCATCCATTAAAATGACATACAAAATCAACATAAATTTAATATAAAAAAGTTGATTGCTTTGCTGTAAAGTATAGGTGTCAATAATGTATCTTATCATTGAGTAGGACACTTTAATAGATGTATTAAATATTTTGATTTTAATGATAAATCATCACATACAAATATACGATAAACAATTTTGAATAGAAACTGTCCGTCAACTTATATTGTATAATATATTTTCATAGTAAATTTTTATTTATTGCTGTGATTAAAGTAATTTATTTTACTAATACAAAGTAATATAGTAGACGTTGTATGATATAAATATGCAATAGCTTAAAATTAATCTAAATAATATTTTGAAAATGTCATTGCGTAATGCGTATAATAAAATAGATTGATGTACATAAATTATTAAGTCCCTAAGAATATTTTTAAATAGCAACAAAATAACTAAAATCGTTATAGGTACTTTGTTTAAATATTTAATTTCGTCAGAATTGGAATTTAGAATGTCTATTAAAAACCGTAACTTTTTATTTGTTAAATTTTTGGGATTATATAAAAAATACTAATGAGAAACCTTGTTTAAAAATATTATCAAGCCTTAATTAGCTATAAAAATTGAAAATTTAATACATTTTAACTACAAAATAATTTGTGATTTTTTAAAATTCTAACTTTAAATGCTTATAAAAATATCATTATAGATTTACGCTTAATTCGTTTTAATTCCATATGTAAAAAACTTATGAAGAATTATATTACGTTTTGTATTGTTAAACCTCAATTATCATTTTATTTTCTACAGACATTCATAGAATAAAATGTTTAAAAAATATCAAAAATGTCCTATTTTTATAATCAGTTCAAAAAGTGTCAACGTATTAATTTCGTGATTATATATATATATACATTTATAACATATAATAATATTATATATATATCAATATATTACTAGATACTAACTACATAAAGAAAATGATACATGTATAGTATAGGTATACTTGACACATTTATACGAAATAATGCCCTGTGCAAAATGAATATCAACACGTATATTTATATATAAATGGCAAGCATTGTATAATAGCTAATTAAATAAATGACAGCATGTAAGTTGTTATTTATTACAGAATGCAGTCGTGTTCATTACAATCCTTGCTAACAATTAGGCTAGGTTTACACCCAATAAAAAATAAAAAAACGGTTCCTCGTCTACATATATGGTTATTCTCCACTGCTACTGCTTAGTTACTTTTATATAGGGTACTCAGCGCAAATAGTTCTAATCTATGTGTGTGTGTGTGTGTGTGTCATACCAAAATTTAGTGTCCGACACATCAAACATCCACTGTCTAAAAGAAAAGAAAAATTAACGCTTTCCACAAATCAATTATCAATATCTTGCCTACATAGAACTTAGTAACAAAAATATATGTAGTTTTAGATTAGAAAACTCAAAATTTGGTTTAAGGTAATAGCGCTTTGCAAAAAATCTATTATTTGCACATAATTTCTTGGTGGCTAGCTTTAATTAAAAACTATACGATAGGTAAATAAATATGTTGAATAATGTACCTATATATAAGTATATTTCGGAAAAGATGTTATTGACCATCATAACCTACTCCTGAATACAATGTGTATCTATGTTATCAATAAGTCGCAAGTAAACTCATATTTACTCCCACTATCGTGATCAACTTACGTGAAAAAAAAACACAAATTTTTACTAAAAATATTAATTAATTAGCATTTTTTATCATCGACCAAATTCTCGGTCGGGTCGAATTTGTTGTGCGGATCGAGGTCTAAGACGATAAGGTCCTCGACGCGATCACTGATTCAAGAACACGGTCAGCTTGACGATGATCGCGTCGCCGGCCGCGTAACGCCTGTACGTAAGCACGTCGTGCCGGAACTCCATGGACGCGCAGACGGTTTCGGCGGCGGTGCGCTGGTTCTGGCGGCGGTGCTGCGTAGTCGGTGGTTCGGCGGCGGCGCACTGGACGTCGTCCCAGACCCGGGACACGATGTCCTCGGGCCCGACGTCCGTCTGGTCGAGCACGCTGAGCCGGATCCGGTGCGCGAACGGCCACCTGAGTTGCTCGTCGTACTCACCGGCGGCCGGCACGGCCGCCACGCGGACTGTGCGGGCCGTCACGTCCGAATGGACGGAAAGCGAGATCCGGTAGCTGCGAGGTGACACGTAAAACGGCGGACTGCGGGCCAGGCCGTCCGGGCCGAACGACAGCCGCCAGAACGCATCCACACGCCAATAGTAGACGAACACCGTGTTCGTGGTCAGCAGGCTCCGCGGACGTCCACTTCCGGCTACCGGACCTTCGTCGACGGTAGACACCGTGCCGTTGTACGTACCGATCTCCCGGAGTCTCTCGGTGTCCTGCACCGCAGCACCGTCGCCGGTTTTGCTGGAAATACAAAATATCGCGCGGAATATTAATATTATATCGACGGCGGTTCGATGCTGTGCGCGCGGGTACACGTTTGGGCGCGGATCTAGGACGTATACAGTTTGGTGAGAGGGCCGAGGAGTAGCCATCAAATGCGCCAATATGCAGGATTATTAGAGTTTATGTTAAAATTGGCGAACGTCAGATTAATATCCCGTGTTTTTCGTGTTCGATTAACTGTCATGTTGTAACGTACAATTTTTATTGAATATACTCCATAGTGACTTAACTTATAAGTTATATTACTGAAATATTATGATTTGAAAATATAATGTTATAGCTTTACTCTTGAACGTAGTTATTGTCTGTCATACGTGTTACCAATGTTGTACATTTTTTTTAAAAAATGTATGCATCTAAATTTTTAATATATATGTACAATACCTGTATATTACATTAAAAAATAATTCCAAATTTACTGGTAAATTTTTCGTCATTTTTTTTCGGTATATTTCATATTTCTAATACATATGGTAGAAATATGACGTTAAATCGTTAAAACAAAAGCTGTACATATCATAAAAACAACGTTGTACAAATGTAAAAATACAATAATAAAAACTGATGTCATGTTAAAAATATTACATTAAAATACGAGTTTGATTGTAATTTATATTTTAAATAAAAATGCAATATTATTGGTTTGCGTATAGATAAGCGATACAAGTATTCTATACTATTGGGCTAAGTAGATAATTAAATTTATCTATAAATTATATTTGTTCTTAATGTTTAATACTTTTAATGTACCTAATGGTTTGTCCGCTCAATAAAACGCGTTCTATATGAAACAATCGTTGTTTTATGTTTTCTGCATCTTCTGTTAACAACTTTTCGATGTGGTGCAGCCTCACGTTTGTCTCATCTGAAATTATAATTGCAATAATAATACATTTATAATGAACTATAATCGTTACTCGTTAGTTACTAATGTTATTATAATTTAAAATGTATACGTTTTATTTTATATTAAATAAATTTATACAAAAGTAAATAAATACAAATTAATTTAAAGTATATTATAATGCAATTGTTGAGCCACATGTAGATTTTTAAAAATATAATATTGTTTTTTATATCAATAAACACAAATTATTATTAATATATTAATAAAATAAATATTTTTAATAAGAAGATCAGCCTCCGTATTAAAGTATTGTATTATGTAAAGTAGTTCAAGAAATTAACTTTTGAAGAAAAAAAATGAACATTCTATTGAGTGTCAAAGAGAATGCTTAGAGACACTTTCGTTTAGTAAAAGAAACTTGTTTTGCTTTTAAACACATATTGACATCGACATATAAATAATAACATTCTTATATTTACATTAATTTTCTTTAACGTCAAACATAGCTCAACAGTTAGATTACTGTAATAATTATTATTTTAATTATACGTTCTTAGCAGATACAATAATATGATACTCGTTAAATTGTTTTCTCTGCGTTTTAATCCTGCATCAATGTTATAAGTTATGACCAAAATTATTTTATCAAATGAAATGAAATAATATTGATCTTTAATCTTGACATTCCCACGGAAATTTACTAAATTTTAAGTATAATAAAAAATAATACCGCATCTTTTAATGATGAATAATAATATTGTCATATTAATTATCATAATAAATTATGTCATCGTTTGGACAATGCAGTATTGATTTCCTAACTACGAGTTTAAATGTACGTATAACGGATACAAATTATAGAGGTGTATATTTTATACTTATGTTGCAAATTCCATGACAAAACCGCGAAAACTTTCCCTCTGCGGTGGCCACGATACGGTCAGTGATGACTTTACATGATGTATACTGCACGTCGATGGCGCCGTCTGATGTAAAGTTTTCTGGAAGTCCGTTTAAAAATGAAACGTTCTGTTGGGCTACGACTACGGTTTTCAATAATGAGCCGATGGTAAATCCTATGACAGCGGCAGTGATCATCGCGATAATCTTTTTAAATCATACGAATATGCTATATTTTATTAGAATATAGATTATAGATGTAACTTACTTATACAATAATACGTATATAACTATTGCGGCGTGACGGTGCGGTCGTGTACTGCGTCGGTTGAAGTAATAACCATTGATAATAGCAGTACTGGTGGATTGTGTCGGTTCAAAACTTAACAAGAAATCTCGCTCAAAAAAAAAAAATCTATTTCTATTTTGTTACGAGTTGGGTGTACAAGCGCATGTTATACAACATGTACGAGTATAAGCGATATAGGACTGTTCCTAATTTATAACAGTATTTAACTATATTTAAATAATAATGACGCTATATACGAGTACACGTATGGTATAATACTCGTAGATGCCTCAATTAGGCCCAGGCAGGCGATTTTATTTTGTACGCACTACGTCCATCAATGTGGTAAAAATAATTCACAATACGCAGTACGCGTTACATACTTGTAAGCTGCCCTATAATAATATACATCTCAGATACAGTAGATACCTATAACATAACAGTCCTAATAGTATGCTGTAAGAAAAGTAACACGCAGAATAAAAAATGAAAAACTTTTATGATATTGAAATTCTTCCATATATATATAAAAATGTGTGTGTGTGTGTGTGTGCGCGCGCGCGCGCGTGTATGTATAGAACTATGATATTTTAAAATATTTATGAACTGTATTTTCGTGTGTAATTTATATAGACCCCACAGAATCGCATCGAAATAATTTCATGTGTGTCCTGTGTCTCGTAACTCGTAAAAATGAAAATATCTTTTTTTAATAATGCTTGTCTTACGCGATGTCGTATACCCGCCACCCAGACCTAACGGACATCAAACATTATGTGTTCATCTACTCGTGTATATTTTATGACCACGACGCTGTAATGCGTTTATACAGAATTTAATCAGTGCATTAAAAAAAGGAAGACTATAACTTGATTTCAACGGATCTAGTATATTTATCCTAGTTTTATAAAAGTACTAATAATTTGAATAAAGTTGCTAAATCTACCTGTCAATATCGTTAAATAAATTAAAATAAGTACTATATAACTGTGAAAAATATAGCCGATAACACGATTATACGATCGTATAACATATTGTTTATTTTATTTTAATATACCATAATTAGATGTTTTATTGGTATACCTATAAGTTGTTTATACAGCCGAAAAATGTGACTAATTAAGTATAAGTTTTTACGGATAAACGTACTGTCACAAAACTGTGTTGGTTATGTTAAAGGATTAATTTACTTAAAATTTATTACTAGAGTTATTGCAATGAGCAACCAAAAATATCATGGGTAGAACTACCATAATATTGTTATTTTATATAGAAATTTAAATTACCTATATGACTATATTATAGTATATGGCATATGAGGTTATGTTTATTATATACGTATTTACTTTTTTTTTCTAAATCAAATTCAACTGTTGAATCAGATTTATGGCAGAAATATTATATTGATTTGATTTTGTGCAATGTAGTTTTACACTTTTTAACTTACAATTTTTAAGAATATTTAGGAACCCACGTTCGATTTGGGCTGTTTTCAATGGGTAGAAAAAGAGACGATGTGTATGAAAATACTGTTTTATAGTATGGTAAAAACTAAGACCCTTACTCGGTGATTGACACTCCCTTCGTAAAATAAACAAAAATTTGAAAAAATTTAACCAGTTACAACAATTGGTTTTCCATTCTCGCGCACATGTCGCATTAGATGATACTCCTGTTCAGACTACCACTCCGTAGTAATGTACGTGCTCTCTGTTCACACTTTGTCCCTGCGATGTTAATCTACGAGTATAAAGATAATGCTATATTACCAAATCGGTATGCCACTATGATACTTTACTCAATATGTTATTATAACACAAATCATGTGTCTTAATAATTGTAACAGTGCAGGGACTCTGATGAAACAGATTACAACAGTTATAAAAAGTACCTACTCCATTAAAAAATAAAATTGAACTTTACTTAATATTTTCAACTGATTATAAGTGTGGAAATTAAACAGATTTTTTTAAATTTGCCTAATTTATGGTTACTAAAATAAAATATATATAATATAATATTATTTAATTTACACCGATAACATCATTATGACGCAAACTAATTTCATAATAAATACGATAAAACACTCCCACGAATAAAAATAATATTATTAATGATGAAATTGATACATATATGTATAATTTATTATAAATAATTTAATAATAATTATACCTCAAAATATGATTAGAAAATAGTAATATTCTTTGGAAAAATAACATTAATAAATATAATTCAAGTACTTTGGTTGTTTAAAAAAAAATTTATCAGTCGTCGAACAATTTCAAAGGATTACATTGAATAAAAATAAATAATAATATTCACAGTTTATAATGGCTTTAAATGTGTGCCATGTATATATATTAAGTACAATTTCCGGTCAATGTGATTTTATCTGCCTAATTAATTTGAAACAAATGCCAAAAACCAAAACAAAATAATATGATTATTAAATTATAAATAATATTATACACATACTATACAGTATTATAGGTTCGTATTATCGATGAACTCATTAAGCCATTAAACGATAAAGCTCGAATTTATAAATCTTTAGCAACACTGCGGTCTTTAATTATAATATATATATACTTAAAATGAAATTTTGCTAGTTGAACTCTGTAATTGAACATGCGCGTTAAATCTCATAACATAATATTATACATTTATACCTATTAGTTATGAATAACGATTAATCAATCACTACAATATTGATGATTACGTAAAGTCAATTCGATATTGGCGCAATTAAGAACCTTTAAATATTAACATAATAATATTGTTGTTACGTGCGCAACGACTCAATCTCAATAATAATACAACAAATATTGAACGCAGATTACGATGAACAATTAGCCGGGCCCGTCTTTTTGTGATAAATCAATCGATCGAATTCGCATACATTGCACGAATTATGAATACAATAATAATAATAATATGGGCATATAGATAATACATAAAATAAATGTAGTAGCCTAAACGATTTGAACATTATTTTAAATATCCAAATCCAATTATTGTTTTTTTATTTGTTTATTTATTATTCATTGACTTTTATCGGTTAATCGGAAAATGTAAATCATAATATTATTGTACAATACGGCGATTGATGATGGATGACTTTCCATATGTATGTACAGTGCCATGTATTATATTATTATACCTAATTATGCCCATATTGCGTGTTGTATAGTTGTCGTATTTTTAATTTCCTGCAGCAGGAGCGTAGTAAAAGCATAATTTTAGTTTTAAAGAAACTAGCTGGCTGTAGGAGTGGCGCGTAAGTGACATGCAGGATGTGGGGTCGCGATGAGCAAAGCGAAGGTGACTCGATTTAGCTGACTGCAACTGTAATGCCTGCACAAATCGAACAAATATATTATCACTATTATACACACAAAACATCCTTTTCTTAAACATATACTATAGTAGTGGTCTGTTTTTAATAAGAATTTGATGACTTCACTGGTGATGATAGTATATATATTATGAGCACAGCGTTTATAGTTATAATTTTGTTATTGCATCACGACATAACGTCCCACTACGATGATTCTATAATAAACATAATATTATAATATATTACATGCAGTATAAATCCACACACAGACACACATACACACACACACACATACATAAACATCCGAAAGTTCATACGTGTTAAATATTTATTTCAAAACTATAAACGAGTATATTGAAATATATGAAAAGCAAACATTTTAAGCAAAAATCTGTTTTTTACGATTTTTATTGTATTTAGTATTATTAATAATTTAGGTAACACCGGTATTTCCATGAGTTTTTACGTATAAATTTGCATAAATATAGCATTATGCATAATGTATGGGAAAATATTTTTTCTCATAGATACTAAATATTGTGATTTTTGAAATCAGAGTATATTTTATAATTAATTATAAAAATAGCGGTATTCAAATTTACGTTTAAGTCTTAATCTATATTTTAAGTTTCAGCTATTATTTTCCTTTTTAAGTATTCGTACTACCGAGGTAATTATAAACTAATAAATGGTTTAAAATATTAAAAATACAGTACAATTTTTTTGAAAATCAAAATAATTAAAAATATTAAATGAACTACGGTGCGTAAAGACATTACAATAATTTACTTTTGATGAATTTTTGGAATGGCCAAAATAGTATAGTTTTAAAATAGATAATAGTTGCAATAAATGTATAATGTTCTAAATTCATTATAGGTTATGAGAGATATCCACGTGAAAAAAAAATAATTATTACATAATATGTTTAATATACGTATTCATATGAAAAGGTAAAAATTATTATCTGGAGATACGTATATAAGTTATATTGTAAATTTATATACAATATAGTATAACATGGTTATAGTAATCGGATACTCGAGATTGGAAATGAATGAAATTAATTTTGAGCAAATAATATTTCCATAGCCTATTTAATTTGTATAAATTTTACTTAGGCGCTAACACTTTAATATTAATTTTCTGTTTGAACTTTTATATCGATATGAAATGAAGGCTTAATCATGTACCTAGGTACCTGTTTATATTTTAATTTTTTTTACGTATACGTGTCCGATTTCGAATTTTAGGGACATGAAGTAGAAAAAGTCAACAGAAATTAAAGTATACGTTATAATAATTCATTTGTTTGAGCATTTTAAAATTCGAACACGTAGTGTATGCTGTTACAGATATGTGCATCAGGTTTATAATCGAACTCTGTTCGTGTACCGGTATTTACATTTTGTATTAACAACCAGATTACATATACACATCGCTTTGTGGGATTCAGCTGGAGTTTGGAGGGGCGTAAACAAGTTTGATTTTTGAAAATATTATCCTCGACAGCATTATATAGTGTGTAAATATAATATTACCTCTAGAAAGAAATTATTTTCTATATTTACATAATATATAACAGTTCGAATATTTAACTGCAAATGGAAGCTAATCAAAATAGATTTTACATCAGTGATCAA